TTCTGTGCTGAATTATTAGAGGAAAGCTGTTCACCAAAGGGGTTCAGAAGGGTCACGGTCACATTGCTGACAGCAGGACTTTCCGAGCTGCACATACGACAAGTGGACAGAGCTGGAGGATGCTCTCAGGCCAGTGGGCACAGCTGCAGAGTCGCAGATCAGAACCAAGTTCTGAGTCGCTCCAGGTCTTTGTGTTATTATTTGATGAGGGACCAGAGAGCAAAACCTCACACCCAAATCCATCTTCTCTTTATAATGTCTGAGCCTAAAATCATCATAATGCTCCCTCGGTCATTATGAACAATGCCAGCTTTTGCTCCAGGCTCCAAACAGGTGGTATAGGCTCATCTTTACACATGCAAGTCTTGATTTTAGTGCACGCAGTTTACAGACCTGTGGTTGAAATGCCATTAACTTGACTTGTAGCCTGGACAACATCCAGTCAGCACACTGACAATGTGAGCTATTCTAAATTATTTAACTCCAGTACCTGGATATGCTAAGTTGCATTAGCATCACACTCTGCTTGGCCTAGTTTACTCTGTTCAGACATAAGGAATTCTAAGTAGGATCCCTCAAAGCGTGTAGGCATCTCATGTGCAATCTAGATGGAATTTAGGTGCTTAAGTAGAGCAGTAACACCTAAACTCTGAAATCCTTAGGAATCTGAGAGTGTCTAAAAGCCCTGAGTTTCACCAGCAAGCATAACTGCCCAGGCCCAAAAATGCTGCCACCTCAGCTAAGCTGCATGTGTGCTTGCTTTTTCCCTACCAAAGTCATCTGGGATTCACACAAGGGATCCCTGCAGAAAGTCCCCTCAAGGGCTTTGAGAAATCTAATTCAGCAACCAAGTACAGGCAGCACAACACGCACAGCGCAGGACTCAGTAGCAGTCACAGCCTTCTGGGGGCACCTTCTCGCTAAAAGCTCAGCCATCCTCCCCTCAGTGAGGGATTCAGTTCCCTCCTCTGGTTTCAGAGGCTCAAAAACCTGTTTTCTTTTGCAGGTTATAGTGCCTTGGGGTAAGGAGAATGGGGTAAGGAGAGATGCTTTCTCCTCAGGTTGAACCTGGATCACTCTGCACATAAATCACAACGTGGAGGGAGAGAAAACAAATGGTACATGACCCTCCAGGATGGTGCAGAAAGGTGTCCTTGCTCCAAAAGCTATTTATACATTTGACAGCTAACAGTTATGGCATAAAGAAATGGACAACATCGAGCAGAATCAGGGCTAGAATCTTGTTGTGCATTGGCCCTTCTGAGAATTTGAAATGATCCCATCACATATTTCTGCTCTTGGCTTCCTGTGAGTGTGAGGGATAAGGTACTTACTTGAGAAATATATATGATGGGTTTTAATCCTTTTGAGTCCTAAGGCTGTACCTGAAACCCTGTTTACTCATTTCTGAGGAGGTAGTCTATTAGGCTTTTCTGCAAGGGTGGTTCAGCATTGGCCACCAGCTATAGCTTCCAAGTGAACCAATCTCATGGAGGTTGCTCAGGGTGTAATTGTCTTTTGGGATCAACAAAATCCCTGTCTGGGATCATACCCCTGCATCAGGATTTCCCATTGGCAGCATGCTGGGTGTTGTGAGTCTTACTACATCTGCCTCATTAATTGAACAGAGAATTCAGGTAACAAATTCAAATCCGATTCTGCTCCCAGAGACATAAACCTTATTTTTATATAGGACTGAGCACTACAAGGTCTAAGCCACTTTGGGTCTCTGATCCTTGGACATCCGATTCCTCTGAGAATAGACAGTAAAAGGAACTTTTGCAGAAAAATAAGAAACGAATCACAGAAGGGATTTCCTATCTGCTCATATTTAAAGGACGCAGCCAGGTTGCTGTATGAACATGTTAGGAAACAGCCCTTACCTTACAAATTACCCTGTTAAAAAGCAAGGCAGGAAAAAGATAAACTCCTCCTCCCTGAGGAGCTGGATTAAACAATTCACTGGATTAAACAATTAAATAAAGCCCTTAATGGTGAATAACAATCTCATTTCATCTTAGCAGAGTTTCTAGCTATGAGGATTCTTAGGTATCCACTGTGTTCCTTCTTTCCTGTTTTCCTTCTCACCACAAAACTCCTGTGTTCCTAATTACACAAAGAATGCTTAAAGCAGAGGGCTGAAAGTACCTTTGCCTTGAGTATTGCAGTGCCTGGAGGTCATGGCACTGGGGTCTCTGCAGGCTGAGTCAGGCCTTGAATCAAGGTCCCACACCTCCTGGAAAGGGCTTTAACCTGTAGCTCACTGACAAAACTCTCCTGTTGTTCTCTCCACAAAGGTGACATTAATTGTCCTCAGAGCCGTACTTAGCTTTCAGAACTCCTTCAGGAACTGAGGTGGTGGGTGGCTGGCTCTCCACCTCCTGGGTCATAGGGGAGAGCTGTTCAAGGGAGCAATGGCTGCCTTCTCAGAACAGACATTTCAGAGCATACGTGGATGCCTAATGGTAGAGAACTTCCAGCAAAGGAAGAAGATACCTACTGCACTTGGGGGCCAAAAAAGCTGGGCAATCTAGGAGAAAAGACTAGGTTGTACTAAAGGAAAATTCAGGTTTTGACATCAAGTCCCAGAGCCAGCCTGATGTCAACTGAGTGACAAATAACAGAAGATAATCATCAGTCAGCATGACTTCATGTAAAATTTATCTTATATAACAACCTGGCTGTAGTTTTGGAAGCAGTCATAAGTATTCCAGCTCTCAGGTATATCCAAATATATTAAAACAATTCTCTTGTAATTAGTCCCACATGACATTCAGACTTCTTGAAGTTAGTTCTACAAAAATCAATTTAGTTCAAAATAAATGAGTAAAAAAACCTATTGAACAAAGAGCAATTTTTCACATCATCACAGGTAGAATTTCTGAGTTGAGATCCACTCTCAGCCAAGGGTTCATTTTTTTTCATCGATGATCTGAAATAAGCTGTATCATTGCTAGTCAAATTTACAGTTAACGTTTGTTTAGGAGATGATACGTGCTGATAGAAAGCAGTTTAATAGACTAAAAGGTCAGTGGATACTGAAAAAGCTCATTTAGCTGAATCACTCGGTATGATTAACTTAACAGAATGATACACCCCTTAAATACAGGTGGATGGAAGGGCATACTTTCAAAGCCCAAGTGTTGTTCACACTGGTAAGCACAGCGTAGAAACCAGCAGAGCTCTGGAAGGTCCTATGGGCAATGAGCTGAATCTAGTTAAGGGGTGGACTTAGACGAACCTGAGCTTCTTAGACTTAGACCAACCTCGAAAATGAAAGTCAGACAAGCTTCACGCAGCTACAGCTTATCCTGGATGACCTCGCTGCAGTAAGCGTTCATATGGAAAGTAGCTCTGCCGAGAAGGACCTGGGAGTCCTAGTGCTCAACAAGATGGCCATGAGCCAGCAACGTGCCCTTGTAGCCAAGAAGTCCAATGTTATCCTGGGCTGCATTAGGAAGAGTGTTGCCAGCAGGTCGAGGGAGGTGATCCTTCCCCTCCACTCAGCCCTGGGGAGGCCTCACCTGGAGTACTGTGTCCAATTCTGGGCTCCCCACTACAAGAGAGACATGGGACTCCTGGAGCAAGTCCAGCGGAGGAGTCCATACAAAGTTGATCAGAGGAGTGGAGCATCTCTCCTCTGAAGAAAGGCTGAGAGAGCTGCGCCTGTCCAGCCTGGAGAAGAGAAGACTCAGAGGCGATCTCATCAATGTGTACAAGTATCTGAAGAGGGGGTGTCAAAAGGATGGGGCCAGACTCTTTCTCCGTGGTGCCCAGTGGCAGGACAAGAGGCAATGGCCAAAAGCTGAAACACAGGCAGTTCCATCTGAACATGAGGACAAACTTCTTGACTGTGAGGGTGACAGAGCACTGGAGCAGGTTGCCCAGAGAGGTTGTGGAGTCTCCTTCCCTGGAGATATTCAAAACCCGCCTAGATGCGATCCTGGGCAATGTGCTCTAGAGGCCCCTGCTTGAGTAGAGGAGTTGGACTAGATGATCTCCAGAGGTCCCTTCCAACCTCAACCATTCTGTGATTCTGTGGTTCTGTGATGGTTGGTCTCAAAGTTGTTTGGTTTGTCCTGAGATGAGCCTGCTTCACTCTGCTGGATCCGTCCTTCTCTGGTCTCATTCAAAGTCTCATATAGGTTTTTAGATGACAACCCCTAATCAACTTGAGAGATCAAGAACCTACTCACTAGATGTTCAGTGCAGATGTACTTCATTGAATGTCTCTTTCCAGCAGATAACAAGCTGAAAGCGATTGTTTGCAGCAATGCATCTTGAGCCTTAGGTGTATAAGCAAGAGGGTGTCAATTTAGACTGGGGAGATGTGATGTATGTAGTCTTCATAACAAAAGGAAGTTCTCAAATTGGAAAAGGATCAAAAGAGAGACAAATGTGATGTCTCAGAAACATATCTAGTAATGACAGTCTTAAATAGTTTGATCAGATCTGTGTTGTCTGTTCAAGAGAGATGACAGGTTACCATTTGATCACGATTTGGGGAAGAAATTTCTGCTAGAGTCACAAAGAGATGTATCAAATCCTGTGACAGCAGAAGATAGCTACGTTCTGACTTCATTCAGTGTAGCGCACAAAAAATCTTAATAGCTACATCTAAACTGGTAAGTTAAACAGGGCCAGATACTGCTATGTGACTGTTCACTTTATTAAATTCACAGAGCATT